CCGGGTCGCGGCGCAGCCCAGCAGACACCAGCGGTGCCGGAGGGGCTTGGCTGCAGCACCGCACCGGGTCCCTCGCTGGCCCGGCACACCCCGGCTCCAGCTGCCGCTCACCTGCCGTTACCAGCAGTGCCTTTGGTACCCACACAACAGAGGATTTAATCCAGGAGCGTGAGAGCTGCAGAGCACTGATAGAATGGCTTTTTCTGCTTAAAATTCCCTTATCATGGGGCCAGGCCATGTCACGGGCTGGGAGCCACCAGGGACACACGCGCTCTGCTCCGAACGGCCGTCAGAGCAAGCCGGGCGGCTTGCCTTGGCAGACCCCAGCCACAACCCCTCTCTTCTGTTTGATAACGCAGACACCAGCAAAATCCCATCTCCAAAGCGAGATTTTTGAAGTTTGCCGACCGAACATTTGTGAAGGCTGGACATGGTGGTTCTCTTTCTCTTGGCAGCTTTGCTGCAAGGTGAGTCACCAAGAAACCAGTCTCCAGGCACTTGCATTGACAAGAACAGGCAAAGCTGAACTGGGGACATGGGTACACCCCTGGCTAAACCCTCACTTGAACACTAGACACCTCCACCTGCAAAGTGGAAGCTGGTCGAACCTCCCTGCCTGCTGGACGTCTGCAGAGAGCTGGCAAAGGCATGGCCAGGGCTGGAAGGGAGAGTCCCAGCTCTCCACGGCTCGGCACCACGGGCAGCCGCCTGGCCCTGTGCAATGCCACTGCAGCAGAGGGAAGCTGCCAGGTCAGGCAGAGCGTGCAGATGCCAAAGGTTGTTCTTAGATGTTTGCCGTTAGCTGCTGCCCTTGATGTTTAGCTCTGGGCAGAGCTGGCAGGGGTTTTGGGTGCCCTGTAAGGGGCAGGGAGGGTCTCCCTGCTCGTGCCGTGGCACAGGGCAGTGGCTCTGCACCACTGGTTATCCTCAGGTGGGTAACGTGGCACTCGAGGAAAGTAACACACCGTGTCCAAAATAAACTCTGAACTTTCTGTCCCAGATGCCCCACTGGTACCACTCATAGTCGCGCCCTTGACTTGAAGGAGCGATGTTGGTTTTCGCCAGGCAAGGATCTGGCTGTGTCTGAATAACCAACGACTTCTGTTTCTTTCTTTCCCTGAAAGACCCAGTTTCGAGCACCTTGTACGGATCCAGGTTTTTGACGGGTGAGGTTGGAGGATCGCTCACCCATCAATGCTTCTACACCATCACGACAGCCAACAAACACGACCGAAAATACTGGTGCAAAATAGCAGGGAGCGGAGTTTGCTACACCATCATTTCTACAACTGGTTACACCTCGAGGGGCTACGCAGGGCGCGTGTCTCTCGAGGACGTCCCCCAGAAGGGCACCTTCACGGTGACGATGACAGGGCTGAAGAAGAACGACACGGGGACCTACCGATGTGGCATTGGCACCAGCAACAGGGACCTCTACGTCAGCCTGAACCTGACGGTTTCGGCAGGTAGGACGCTGGCAGGGGACAGGGGACTCCGCTCCGCTGGCAGCACCTTGGGGCCGTGTGCTGGAGCATCGGCTCACACTGCCTGCTCCCCACGTGCAGCAGGCATAGTGACTTTTTCTACCCCATGCTATGAACCAGATATTTAGAATGATGGGGTATAAAAGTACCCAGATTTGGCCAAATCAGCTGCTAGTAAGGAAACTCCCGCCTGGCTGGGGGCTGCGTGCTGGATGGTGCCTCCTGTGCTCTCTCCCTGCAGGTACCAGTGTGTCGGAGACCGTCGAGCTCATCCAAGGGGAGCTCCGTGGCTCTGTCACCATCCTGTGCCCACCCAGGGACACCCAAGGTGGCAAGAAGAGGTTCTGGTGCAAACTGGGGAGAACCAGCTGCAGTCTCATAGCCGACACCGATGGCTACGTGGGAAAAAGTTACCAAGGACGAATCTTTATCACTCCTCAGGAGAGCTATGGAGCTTTCAGAATCTTGATAAATGACTTAACAAGGGAAGACTCGGGGCTGTACAGGTGCGGGACAGGAAGGCTCAGCGCTGGAGACAGCCAGCGGGTGGTGGCTCTGCAGGTGACCACAGGTAGGACGGGATGCTGGGGGCTGCACGTGCTGTGGGGGTTCCTCACAGCCCAGGATGAGGAGCATGAAATGCTAACGCAGCCCTCTCCAACCTGCAGCCTCCACCCTGCCCAAGAGACCAAAATTTCTGAGCGGCACGGTCGGGGGCTCGCTGTCCGTGAAGTGCCACTATGATCCCAAGGGGAGCTACGAGAAGAAGTATTTGTGCAGGTGGAAGGAAGCTCGCTGCTCCCTGCTCGTGGATGTGGACGGGTTTGTGCACGAGTCCTACGCAGGGCGAATACAAATAGCCAGCAGCGACCAGGAGAATGGGACTTACACGGTGGTGATGAGGCACCTGAGAGAGGACGACGCGGGATGGTACTGGTGCGGGGCTAAGAACGGGCACACGGAGCACACGTCCTCTGTGAAGCTGCTCATCCAGAAGGGTAGGTGGTGGGCTGGCTTAGAACACAATAAATCGCTTTTCTTTTTCTAAATAACTATTTCCCTTACCCCTTCTTGGGCGTGAGGAGAATAAACTCTCCTTTGTACTATGCATAAATAGAACAACTTTGTAAGAAACATCAGCTATATATTTTGCCTTACAGTTATGGCAAGTAACTGAGTTAATGGTAAAGGTTTTCAGAGGCAGGGGTGTAAGCTGAGCTTTCAGCAGATATTCAGTTTGTTTGAATCATATTATTGATTATTTAAGATGCAAACCCCTAGCATAAGACATCCTGAGCCTAGCAAGTGCTGTGCAGAGACCTGTGCTTTGCTCTGAAGATAAGCTGAAGGTTATCTGGCATTTTTAGAAACCGCGGCATGTAAACACAGATCTGCGTAACTGTTCAGCTGGCAAAGACAGAAATAGCTGGGTTAAAGTATGAATGTTTGCCAAGTATTAATGGGTTTTCATTAGTACTCCCAAGCTGCTTTCCATAAGACTCAAAGGAAAATAGAAATACTTGGGTTTGGTCATATCGTGCTGCATATTTTTTCATGCGGACATACAAGATGAGATGCATAAATCTCTGGTAAATCTAACAGGTTGTCTCTGCAAAAAGATGGATATTCAAGCCTCAAAATAATGTTCTCCCTAGAAACCCGCTCTACACAAGACCCAGAAACATCCACCCTTGTGAAACCCACTTTATCGTCAAGTCCTGCTGCCTACAGCACGCGCATGCAGAGGAGCAGCACGGGCCTGACGTACGCGACGGGCACCGTCACCCAGAGCACCAGCACCCTGCTGCCCACTACCCCCCCGAGCACCTTTGTAACCTCCCCAGGCGAAATCCATCATGAGAGGTGAGTTCATGGCCACGTTTCTCGCTGGTGCCAAGTCGGTGGCTTCTGACCTGCCTGCCCCATTTCCCAGGGCCCTGCGTAGGTAGCGCACGGGTTGCAAGCTGAAAACACCAACAGGAGACATTAGCAATTAGAAAGGCAGAAGGCAAGGTTATCATAGAATGGTAAGTGTTGGAAGGGACCCTAAAGATCATCTGGTTCCAACCCCCCTGCCATGAGCAGGGATATCTTCCACTAGACCAGGTCTATCTCCTGTCCTGCTGTGGCATGTATCTTTGAACTCGTCTTTAAATCTTCTGGTGCTGATCGCTCCTGCAGATCAGATGCCAACAGACGTGCTTCTGTCTGTTTTCCTTCACTCAGCGTGGAGGCAGGACATTGGGAAACATTAGGCTTGAGCAAGAACGCTGGTGAATAGCTGCTACGTACCTTACTGCACACATTATCCAAGTCCTCACAGGCAGCCAGCACCCAGGGTAACATTTGGGTGCTCTGTGTTGCATAAGGAGCTATCTTTGAACAAGGTTAATCAAAAGGCTGTGAGCTATTTTGGCCGGTAATTATTCCCTGGTGCTTCTCTAGAGCCCTGCGGCTCACCCCAGTGCAACCGCTTTCCCCAGTGAATTTAACTTCCCTGCTTCCTGATTCACGGGGTGGCTGCCAGCAGCGCTCGCACCTTTCACCCCAGCTACGGCCACCATCCAGCGCCGGCTGAAGCGATTTGCATAGCTGGTGGAGGTGAGCAGATATTGCAGTACTGGTCATAAGTGAAGATAAACCACAAAGTTCACAAATCTAGCTCAATATCCAGAGCTGTCCCTCCATGCACCTTGGAGCTTGCGTCTGCTCCAGTGACCCGCAGCACAAGAAGCACTGTCCTCCCCATCCCCAGCCTCCCTCAAGCCGTATCTCCCTGCCATCCAGCCAGAAGGAGGAGGGGAGAGCACGTTACCATTCACAAATCTTGTCTAAAGCGTCAGATTTTGCACGGTTTCTGGCAAAGCTCTGTCTGCCTGCAGAGCTCTGATAGCATTTACAAATCATTTTTGCAAAGAGATGGTACACAGACACCCTCCAACAGTGTGAGGTTCTACAACAACTCGCAAAGAAAGAGTAAGAACCTTGCTTGTGAATCTGTATCATGAAAATAGCTCATTTTCCTTTGGGAGGGCTCATTCAGCTGGCAGCGTAAACCCCACACGGTAGAGCAGAGGCAGCTGTAGAAATTACTTCCTCATAAGCCAAACTCCAGATCACATGATTTCATCTCTGCTTGACTTTGTTGACTCTTCTTCTTTGATTCAGTCAGAGTTCGTAACTCCTTTGTACTCTTTGGCGTAAAAACGACAGCCTGCGTTCAGGTACTTCAACCACCTTGTAGATGAATCAAAATCCAATCTAACTCTGATGGTTCATCTTTCCAGCTCATCAGGTGAATCACATCTGCTCCCAGTTGTGTTACCAGCTCTCATTTTACTGATTTTCATCACTGTCACTATTCTTGCCCTGATCAAAATCAAGCTTCAAAAGGAAACGGGTAAGTTGGCCAGGCAACACCTCTCGGGTTGCGGCTGTTGTGTTGCAATGGCTTTGCTCGTCTTTTCCAAGAGCAGGAATCTGACCGCTGCCGATTTCCATCTCTAGACACACACGCCCAGTTTGCAGCCAGTGCACACTGAAAGTGCAACTGGACTTGCAAGTCATGTCCTAGAGAAGTTGCTTTCTATTTTTTTTTAATATACTTAAACAAAGATCAAATGAAGGAAA